ATGGTGTTGTCTTTCCTTTAGTCATTGTAATATCTTTCCTTTAGTCACAGTATTGTCTTTCCTTTATTCATTGTAATCTCTTTTCTTTAGTCACAGTGTTGTCTTTCTTGTAGTCATGGTGTTGTCTTTCTTTTGTCTTGGTGTTGCCTTTCCTTTAGTTATTGTGTTGTTGCGTAAACCCCTGTAAACCCCTGAGGGTTTACGCAGTATATATTGGACGATGTCCGTAGTCTTTCGGAATACCGGATGTTATTCGGAATACATCTGTTTCTTTCTATGGCCACCTTTCATATACATACGCAATAGCTTATTATTTGACTTGTTGAATCATTAGCATCTTAAAGTTGCTATAGAGATATGTTACATATGATGCGAAATTTATTATGATGCAAGCTACTTTAATAAGCATTTGAATACTTCCTTGCTCGCAATTACAAGCTGCTAATATTTACCTTACATATACGCGTAGTTATTCTAATTAGAGTCAAACGTTGAAACCAGCTGTGTTTAGATATGAGATAAGATTTCACGTAAACAATGCGATTTATATTCGAAACGAGATTTGTTAAAAATAAAATCTATAAAAGAAGTATTACTAGCATTTCACTTAAGATTCCGAGTCTAGGGAAAATGTACATAATGTACGGAAGCAGGCTATTTCATAATTTTCATACCTCAACGTCCTTGTGGGACTAACTAAAGGACAATACTGAAATTAAAATGAAGTCTTTCTTGCACTTTATTGAAATTTTACGTCTAGGATAGACCAAGGACGTATATAATCTAAATTGATATACGTCCTTGAATAGTTTTTATTTTCTTTAAACTTTGCAATTTTCTTTGTTTAAATATTGTAACGTTATTTCCTTATCAAATGTCTATTAATTAATAGACACCGAGTGATGACAGATGCAGGCAGAGATAAGAAAAATTAATTTCTATTTATAGTTATCTTGGTCAGGGAACAGATTATCTATTTATATGTTCGGCCTGTAGTAATTAATGCTCTTCAAAATGTTCGTCAAAATAAAAATAAATAATTATTATTTCATAAAGACGATCAGATGATGAATTTTCGGTTTTAATATATTAAACTTGTACGAAAATGTAAAATAGTGTAAGAAGATTTTGAGCCATCTCACTGATCAGTAGGCTACACAGTGCCCCCAAATGACCAGTATAAAACTATCCAGCAAGAGAGAAAAAGGATAGCCGGGTCAATGTAAGAAACCTACTAGGCAACTTCAGTTCAATTTCAATATCTCGATTATTCTAATGGATTTGTCAAATGTCAGGGAATATCTTTTTAAATGTGGTAGGAAGACAATTCTCCATCAAAACCCAGTACTGTAGTCAAAATTAGCAATTATAGGTTATAATTCAGCCTTCAACACAATAGCTTGGCTCACATTGGACAGCATCCTACCGAGGGCCCCAAAACACTGTTATAAAACACTTTAAACAGGAAAAAACAAACAGATCTAATTTAACTTCAAACCAGAAACAAAAAGCAAATATGAACTGCACCAAAAAAAGACAACCACTAAACAACATGCTTCGGACTTGGGACATGTGCTTATGAATACACCTGGTTTAAAAGAATTTACATACATACCATAAGACAGTAGTGTAATTTTACCATGTAAAAGACACCCTTTAATATTTAATGAAAAAATCGTGTTCAGATAAAAAAAAAATCGTAAGGGTTCCGCGGAACCCAGTGTCTCGCCTACTTTTGCTGTAAATCGCAGGCTCAACAAAAATGAGGAAAAACATCAATAAAAATATTCCTCTCAATACTATTTTTTTTTTATTTTAAGAAGCTTCTGTCCAAGTTTGGGAAAAATCCAGGATAGTTTATAAATCTAAAAAAATTTACTTCAGACTGTATGTAATGTTAACTGGAAGAAAAACTAAGTCCATTTATAAGAAAAATACAGATAAACCGGTACAAAATATTAACAAAAATTTTCCTTCTAGATACTAGCTTTTAATCATAAACAAGCTTCTGTCCAAGTTTGGTACAAATCCAGGATAGTATAAGAAAGTTATTAAAATTAAAAAAAAACTTTAACCTCGGAGTGAATGTATTGTATCCCAGCAGAAAACTAAGTCCATTTATAAGTAAAATACGAAAAAAATGGAATTTCATTTTTACAAAATTTATTTCTGGATACTATCTTATGATGATAAACAAGCTTCTGTCCAAGTTTGGTACAAATCCAGGATAGTTTAAAAAAGTTATTAGAATTTAAAAAACTTTAACCATAGAGTGAATGTATTGTTTCCCAGCAGAAAAAACTAAGTCCATTTATAAGTTAAAAACGGAAAAATGGAATTTTATTCTTACAAAATTTACTTCTGGATACTATCTTATGATCATAAACAAGCTTCTTTCCAAGTTTGGTACAAATCTAGAATAGTTTAAGAAAGTTATTAAAATTGCAAAAACTTTAACCACAGAGTGAATATTTGTGGACGCCACCGCCGACGACACCGACGGTATGTAGAATTGCTTTGTCTCGCTTTTTCGACTAAAGTCGAAGGCTCGACAAAAAAGAACACCTTACAACAGTTCATAAATGTGACCTTTAAACAAACTCATATTTAGGTGATGGGTATACCGATCAGTGGTAATTTCAGGTTTGACCATGTTAGTTTTTTTGTTGTTTTCAATTTTGTTTGTTTGTTTATAAGTACAAGGTGTAAGCTGTTTTGTCTAGGCTATAAATATCATTTTTAATGAATTGGTTTCGGTCATCAAGGTGAAGAGGATACAGTGCGATTCAAATTGTATATATTTACAATTAAACTTGCAAGCCTTTTTTCATGACCTACAATTTAAAATATAAGAAAACATCAAAATAAAAAGGGACATCCGGAAAATATCTTCAAAGCGAGTTAAAGGTTTTAAAAGTGGTTGTTTTTAACAAAAGAGGTTTGTCATCTAAAACTTTTAAGAGCATACACAAAGCACAGAACTTAAAATTGCCCATGCTTGCTACCCTAAGCATAAAAAACCATTGCAGAGCAGGTGTAAGGATCTTAATAATGATCAATATCAAGCCATTGTTCAAATGACCATGAACATATCTCAAATTCCAATAAAAACGGCTATTTTACAGGTTCACGTATTGCATTTCTTAAACACATATAATTATTAATTGATTAAATTTCTTCACATTTGCATTTGAACTTTAGCCTAAAAACCAACTCTAATTTAAAAACAAAAACCAGCATCTTAGAATGGAACATCAAGTGGGTGGCTTAACATGATGTCTTTCGGGAGAGAGGAGAGAAAAAAATATTCCTTTAACAAGAATATTTCACCCCACATTAAACAGTATTTACTTTAAGTAAACAGTCACTGTCAGTTTCTAATTCTTATATAACAAAAATGATATAAAACAATAAATCTTTTTTTTAAACAATTATCTTATATCTAATACAAAACAAGTATTTGGGTTTACGATTGCATTTCTTTTTTTAAAGAAAGCAACTTGTTTTTCCTTTAGTCATTGTAATCTCTTTCCTTTAATCACAGTGTTGTCTTTCTTGTAGTCATGGTGTTGTCTTTTCTTGAGTCTTGGTGTTGTCTTACCTGTAGTCATGGTGCAGATTCTAGATTTCTTTTCTTTCAATTTGAGACCCAAATAATACCAATGAATTATATAAGGTAAAAGTCCGAGTCAACCTTTTCCCGCCATTTTTAAAAATTAAATATCTCGAAAAGGAGCTCCATAACCTATCAATATGTTTAGCTTATTTTGTTCCTTATCTAATGCTCTTCTGACTTATAGTATCAATTTTAAATTCTAGATTTTTTCTAATTTCACCTAAGTATATCTTTAATCGCAGTGTTGTCTTCCCTTTTACATCTTACTATTTTTGTTATTCACTTGGTATCTTTCGGAACACCCGAAATCGTCCCCAATTTTTGATTGGGTTCCTATTGCTCAATTTTTAGTTTTGTGTGTAGTGTTTTGTGAACTGGTTTTTGTTCGAATTTTTTTTTCTAATGGCAATAGGGCTTATTTCACTATTCTGCACAGATATTAGAAATTATAGGCAAATGATAGTCTTCTGAAAGTATTGATGGGATATTTCAATGAGATTTTATGGAAACTTCTTGGATATTTGACTATGGATATGATGAACAAAATAGTAACAAATAATGCCTCCATTGTGTTTCAGTTAGACGAGATGTGTTCTCATTTTGTACATTAACTACTCGTAATTATGATTAAAGTGCTATCTAGAACAATGCATAGACAGATTTCTTCCCATAAGATTGCCAACCATATTTTTCTCGTTTTTTTTTTCCTTTTAAGAGTTAATTTATTTCAATGTGGTCTAGACTGACTCTTCCGATTAAATTTATTCCCATTACCGTTTAGTTTCTTTTCGCTTTTAAGAACCTATTAAAATGTTTATACATAGTGGTATATAAAATGATCAAAAAATACTTCTGTGCGCTTGGAAAAAAGTTTCAATTTCCAACGCTTCTGTAGCTAAATTATTTAAAGCTTGTGTCTGTAGTTTGTTACAGTCTTTTTACTGTAAGGGTATAATTCGTAGACCTTTCAACAACAAGTCAATGAGTAGATGGTTCAACTATAAAAGTAATGAATATAAGATACCATTGTAACCCAATATTGTAAGCGTTTTAGATGGAAAATATGAAGCAAAACATACACACTTTTATCCTCCCTTTCATCTTTGAGAAAAGGGGCGGGGTACTGTACATTTTGAATATTTCTGATCAACATTGCGGCACAACTGGCAATGGACGAATACTCAATTCTGGTTTCAGATGTTAACTCATTATCAAATATCAAATTTTGATTTCTGATTATTGAAGGACACATACGACACAGAAAATAGTATAACGAGTGTAAAACTTCACGTCAGTCAAACATAACTAAAATATGATATACAAATCTAAAAGATACAATAGGATATGATGATGTCTTAAAAAAAATAACATTTTTTACTTGCAGAAGGAGAAACAATGTCGTCAAGGGCAAAAGAGTGTTTACATGGCATGGTAAAGGCTATGACGCGCAAGAAAAAAATCACGGATGATATGTATGAGACGCCATTAAAACGATGCCTTACCACGTTTGATCTCACGTTACTTGGAATTGGTCACATGATAGGTGCTGGTGTCTATGTTTTAACTGGAACCGTTGTCAAGAATTTAGCTGGACCGTCTGCCATTTTGTCCTACCTCTTTGCGGGATTTGTTGCTTTGTTAGCCGCTCTTTGTTATTCGGAATTTGGCGCCAGAGTACCAAAAGCAGGGTCGGCTTACACGTACACGTTTGTCGCTATTGGAGAACTTATGGGTTTCATTATTGGATGGAATATTATTCTAGAACATTTACTAGGGGCATCATCTGTTGCCCGAGCCTGGAGTGGTGCAATCGATTCTTTATTTAATGGTGCTATCAGAAATGGTACTATAGAACATATTGGACACTTAGGAAAAGACTCCAAGTGGATCTCTGACTATCCCGATTTTATCGCATTCGTAATATCAATAATCATTTTTATTGTAATAGCAACTGGAGCAAAGTTTTCAATGAACTTTAATAACGTTTTTACTTTGATCAACGCAATTGTTATAATATTTGTCATTTGCGCGGGATTTTACTTCGCTGATCTTGCAAACTGGACCGATCCAAGTAGGGGTGGATTCTTTCCTCATGGTTTTGGAGGAACATTATCTGGTGCAGCTACATGTTTCTTTGCATACGTAGGATTTGAAGGAATTGCAGTTGCTGGGGAAGAAGCTAAGAAACCCGAGAAGTCTATCCCATTCGGCACTTTTCTTGCTTTATCTATCGTATCCCTGCTGTATGTGTTAGTAACAATTTCATTAACCCTTATGGTACCGTACTATGAAGTATCGACTACAGCAGCATTCCCGATGGCATTTGCAACACGTGGAGCTCATTGGATAAAAGTCATTGTTGCATTTGGTACTTTGTTTGGACTTACAACTTCACTGTTAGGATCTGCTTTCTCCGTCACAAGAGCAATTTATGCAATGGCTTCAGATGGTTTGTTGTTTTCGGTTTTAGGCTATGTTCATCCAAGAACACAGACCCCCGTCGTGGGAATTGCAGTTTTTGGATTGATATCAGCTTTTATGTCATTGTTATTTGAAATGGAAACACTTGTAGAATTTATGTCGATTGGAACACTTTCTGCGTACACAATCGTCGCTGCGGCTGTAATAATCGTTCGTTACCAGTCTATTGAAGACTGTCAGTTTAAATTAAAACCGGAAGAGGAAGATTTAGATACAGCAGCTTCCGGTGTAAATGAAGAAAGTGCAATAATTAAAAAATCCAAAAGTCATGACGATTTTGGAAAGTTGAAAGAAAAACTACGTCATCTTCCAATACTTAAAACAGTACCAGCAGGAAGGGCTGCTCTCTATGCCACTTATTCCATCATTGTTTTTATAATATCTTTCTGTTTTGTTTTGATAGTAGGATTTGATTATCTGAGAGATGGTGCTTGGTGGGCTATACTTTTAGAGATACTGTTTGCAGCTGGTATGGTTATATGCTATCTAATCATGATTGCACATGAGAAAAATGATGCGTTTATAACATTTCAGGTAAGCATTTTAACTTGATATAAAACGCTTATCAAATCCTTAGAACTGAACAGATAGAATTACTTTAATGCAATTACTGTGTTAAGATAATGGAAACAAATCGACAGCATTTAAAAGTAGACATAAAATCGTTTTCCATGTGATTTATTACCCTCCTACACACTCAGACTAAGAAATAGGAGAAGATAAAATCAGTTAAAAAAACTGAAGTCTGATGGATACATTGCATGCGATAGTGTATATATTTTATGCTAAATTTTTTGTCTGAATGTTTTTGAAGCAAATTTATAATATTGCTTTATACATGCCTTTCGAAATTGAAATTTAGAGTCAAAAATTGTGATTTGCACTGTCCATCGAAAAATAAAAATAAACGCTCTTTTATTTTCGAGAAAATTGCTTGGTTAGCGGATAAGGGTAAAACGGTTCCTCACTTGTCCCGTTTAAAAAAAAGCTAATCAGAACCCAACACTAAACAATTCACGAATAAAAAACAGGACAACAGATTGCACAATAAAAAAGGTATCACAAAAATACCAACTCGAAGGTAAGTTCAAAAAGGGGAAGTCCGTAAAAACAGACAAAATCAATCTGTCATCAACCAACGGACCGAGTGAAAAACAACTTTCATATACCTGACTTGGTACAGTTAGCATTGATATTTGATATACATGTAAGCAAACGGCTATTCATTAATGGCAGCTAATCTGAACAAGGTTTACGCCTTCGTTCTGGCCATTTTGGCACATGACTTTATTAATACAAGAATAAAATTATACACAAATATACACATGAAATCAGAATAAATGAACGTTAAAGGTAACGTATGCGTATATGTAATTAGGTAGTATTTCGAATTATTCAAGACAAATTATACGTATTGGATGGTATTTCGGATTTTTTATGAAATTTTTAATGCATCTACAACTTGCTGAACTTCATCTGAATATCGAACAATATAGGTGAAATATGTCAGTAAATGTATAGAATGTTTGTAAAAAGCGAAAAATATGCAATTTTCATTTTGATTTAAAATTCGAATTTAAATACATGTATGTATAAAAATTATGTTATTGCTGTGTACATTTACGCTATGTTGTGATTTGAAAATAATATATAGTGCATGCATATTCAGGTAGATATAACATGTTTATATCATCTGGATATTTTCCACGCGACCGAACTTTTGAGTTGACCATAATAAATACTAGCTCACAACTATTTATTATAATAGGGAAGACATGACTGCCACACACAAACATAAGTATTTACGTTATGTCAGAAGAATTTTAATATAAAAATAAGAAGATGTGGTATGATTGCCAATGAGACAACTCTCCACAAGAGACCAAATGACACAGAAATTAACAACTATAGGTCACCGTACGGCCTTCAACAAAGAGCAAAGCCCATTCCGCATAGTCAGCTATAAAAGGCCCCGAAATGACAAATGTAAAACTATTCAAACGAGAAAACTAACGGCCTGATTTATGTACAAAATAATGAACGAAAAACAAATATGATAATAGCAACAAACGACAACCACTGAATGACAGGCTCCTGACTTGGGACAGGCACATACAGAATGTGGCAGGGTTAAACATGTTAGTTGGCGCCCAAACCTCCCCCTAACCTGGGACAGTGGTGTAACAGTACAACATATGAACAAACTATAAAAATCATTATATAGAAATTTGGTTGAAAAGGGCTTAACTCATCAGATGGATACAAAGCAAAAACTAGTAACAAAAATACAGAGTGGACGTGGCAGGGTACTTATACATCCCCACAACAAAAAGACACTAAGTACAGTTCTGAGAGTACTCGCAGTTACTGACAGCTAGTTCCAAGCCAATAATAACTAATAGTTAAAAGCATGCATCTAAGACTAAAATATCAATCAGCACACATCCAACATCCAATGGATTTAGTATAAAGATATCATAAACAGTCAGAGAAAAACATGTCCTTGTCCAATGCCAAGATACATTGATTGATTGATTGGTATTTAACGCCACTTTCAACACTATTGTGCTATTTCGTGGCGGCCAGTTTTCATTGGTGGAGGAAGCCGGAGTGCCCGGAGAGAAGCACCGACCTTCGGTAGGAAAACTGACAATCCTAGTCAATTAAGATTGGAGTCGAGTGCACCTACCACTTGCGGGATTCGAACTCACAACCTCAGTGTTGACTTGCTAGTGATACAGTAGTTTGACTACTTAGACCACTTGGCCACCGAGGCCCCATACAGATATCGACAGACTGTAGAGCCATGAATATGCATATGTATATACAAATAATATTTAGTTTGAATGTCTGCATTCTTTAATCTATGGTGTGATTCATGATGAAACAACTATATACATATAAATCAAAATTATGGGACACAATACAGAAAACAAGCCATAAGTCGAAAATAAACTGACATGGCAAAAACAGAAAAACGACCATAATACAAACAACAATATACAAAACACAACATTACAATTATTTCTTACCCTTTCAGATGCCATTTGTTCCCGTAATACCATGCTTAAGCATGTTCTGTAATGTTTGCTTGATGATGACATTGAACCATCTGACGTGGATTCGACTTGCCATTTGGATAGCTATAGGTTAGTTGTTATCACAAACTTTAATGATCTGCAGCGGTAACACTTTGTTTCATCTTCGCTAGCCAAGGGTAACGATCCACTTCCCTCCTCTCCACGCACGTGGAGAGGAGGGAAGTGGATCATAACCCTTGGCTAGCGAAGATGACTTTGTTTATGGTATCATTATTTTATGGGCAAGTTTATATTGGAACATGTATCAATTTAGGTAAAATTCATTTATGGGCAAGTCTGTATTGGAACATGTATCAATGTTGATGACCATATTTTATGGGCAAGTTTATATTGGAACATGTATCAATTTAGGTAAAATTCATTTATGGGCAAGTCTATATTGGAACATGTATCAATGTTGATGACCATATTTTATGGGCAAGTTTATATTGGAACATGCATCAATTTAGGTAAAATTCATTTATGGGCAAGTCTATATTGGAACATGTATCAATGTTGATGACCATATTTTATGGGCAAGTTTATATTGGAACATGCATCAATTTAGGTAAAATTCATTAATGGGCAAGTCTATATTGGAACATGTATCAATGTTGATGACCATATTTTATGGGCAAATTTTTATTGGAACATGCATCAATTTAGGTAAAATTCATTTATGGGCAAGTCTATATTGGAACATGTATCAATGTTGATGACCATATTTCATGGGCAAGTTTATATTGGAACATGCATCAATTTAGGTAAAATTCATTTATGAGCAAGTCTATATTGGAACATGTATCAATGTTGATGACCATATTTTATGGGCAAGTTTATATTGGAACATGCATCAATTTAGGTAAAATTCATTAATGGGTAAGTCTATATTGGAACATGTATCAATGTTGATGACCATATTTTATGGGCAAGTTTATATTGGAACATGCATCAATTTAGGTAAAATTCATTTATGGGCAAGTCTATATTGGAACATGTATCAATTTTGGTAGCGTTGCTCCAAAATGTAAGTTTCGAACATGTATTAATTTTGGTGACATCGTTTTATGTGCAAGTTTGGAACAGTTGTTAAATTTATAAACATTCGTTTATAGGCAAGTTTGGAACAGTTATCAATTTTGGTGACAAACTTAAAACTTGTATCTCAGCTGTCATTTTAACATTTCATAATATCCCTATTATCAGAAAGCCAGGATAAATTAAATTTTATGATAGTGGATTTTCATTAAAATGACCTTCAAAATTTATACTATTAACTATGAATAGTACAATTCAATGAGACAGCAATCCAACGATACAAAAACAAAAACATTTAGAGGTCAACAAAGCAGCTAATAATGTAGTGGTGGTGTGACGCATATACTACACGGAAGTTCTCCAAAACGAAATTATCAATTCTTCTACATTCAGGTCCGTACGCTCCACAGAGAGTCAAATTGTAAACAAGCATACAACTGCCACTACCCAGCTTAAAGCCTCTTCTGACATTTGAAAGTCCCTACTATGTACTGGTTACCTAAATTGCACAAAAAACCATTTAAATTTCGTTTCATCTCCGCATCTAGTAAGTGTTCTACTACTAATCTATCAGTGCTTCTAACTACCTCCTTTACTACTATCAAAGAACTTATTAACTTTTGTAATAAAGCTTATGAAAATAATGGTATTAATTATTTTTGGAGTGTTAAAAATTCTTTAGAGGTTTTAGATAAAATACATGCTTTTGATGGTCCTTTTAATTCTGTTGACAGTTATGATTTTTCTACTCTCTACACTACACTTCCACACAATCTTATCAAGAAAAAGTTTTCATATTTAATTAAATGGTCTTTTGAAAAATCTCATTGCAAATTGATTTGCTCTCACTCGTTTAAAGCCTTTTTCTGTAACGAAAAAGGAAAGTATGCTAGATGCACTTAGCGGAAATGTGAAGATATGATTGAAGCTTTAGATTTTCTCCTGGACAACATATTTTCACGTTTCGGCGATAAAGTGTATCGACAAGTAGTAGGTATTCCTATGGGCACTAACTGCGCCCCTTTAATAGCAGATTTATTCCTGTATTGCTATGAATCTCAGTTTATGACCAAACTCAGTAAAGACACGTCATTGTTACATTTGGTTGATACATTCAACAATACCTACCGTTATCTTGATGATATTTTTTCGTTAAATAATCCAGAGTTCTCTAAATATAGAAATTTACCCAAAGGAACTTACTTTAACTAAATCTAACATAAACAGCAGTAGTTGTCCTTTTCTAGATTTAGACAGTTCAATTTCTAAAGGGAAACTCCATACTAAAATTTACGACAAAAGAGACGATTTTTAAATTCCCTATTGTTAACTTTCCTTTTTTAGACGGCGATGTTCCTTTGGCTCCATCATACGGTGTTTATATATCCCAACTCGTTCGTTATGCATGTGTGTGTAGTGATGTCATAGATTTTAACGAACGTAATCAATGCATCACTGGTAAATTATTAAGTCAGGGATTTCGTTACCATAAATTACTTAAAACGTTTACTAAATTCTTTCATAGATACAAAGATTTGATTAGTAAATTTGGCTCTACCTATAGAAAACTTATTAAAAACGGTATTTCACATCCTAAATTTTACGGTAATATTGTATTAGAAGCGCGGAAATCACTATGTGATCCGTGTAAACTCATCAAACTTTTAAACAAACTTATTAGTAAAGGTTATCTTACCAATGTTGTAATTAGATCTTTGAGTTTAGTTTACATTGGCACAAATATCGATTTTGTAATCAGCAAATTATAAAACATACCTTAATTTGTATTCTTTTCAAACGGGATGTATAAAGACACATCCACGTTCATTTTTTTCTATAAAGAGGTTAACTCCTAACTATCCTACTGCCTGTCGATACATTTATTTTTGGCATTGCACAAGTCATGTCTTCTTCGACTGTCCATGACGTTAAAATACTAAATCCCTGGGATGTGTTTTAGTTGATTTTAGTCTCTGATGCATGATTTTTTATTATTAATTGTTTTTGGCTTTTAACTAGATGACAGTAACTGCGAGTACTCTCAAATCGTACTTTCTTGTTAATTTGACATGTTGATACTATTTGTAATGCTTTTTTGTTATTTAATGTTTGCTTATTCAGGGTTATATCTCGTCTATATACCAGCTTTGATAAGTGTTTGGTATGACTATAAATTTTCACTTCTTCGTACTATGAACAACAACAAAAAATATTTCCGTTCTCCATTTAAACTGTATACCTTACAACAAAATTATTTTCATTTACCTGTGTATATTATTGTATTTGGCGGCTTTTTGTTCAAGGTTGTTGTTGTTTTTTTTGAAATTGTTTAAAATGTCACAGCGGTATACTACTGTTGCCTTTATTTATTCACCCCTTATTTTTATTGATTTTGCATTTACATTGTATCATAGATCAAATTTATTCGTTCAGTGTATGTTCACTTGTGTTAATATGTCTTTTGATTGAGTTAAGCCATTTCAATTGATATTTTATAGTGTGTCTTTCTATGCTGTTATGTGAAACTATTGTTTCAGATTAGGATGAAGGTTGTTACCTATTAAAACGTTTAAACCCACTGCATTTGTTTGCATCTGTCCGAAGTCAGGAATCTGATGTTCAGTAGTTGTCGTTTGTTGATGTGGTTCATAAGTGTTTCTCGTTTTTTATATAGATTAGACCGTTGGTTTTCCCGTTTGAATGGTTTTACACTAGTCATTTTTTGGGCCCTTTATAGCACGCTGTTCGGTGTGAACCAAGGCTCCGTGTTGAAGACCGTACTTTGACCTATAATGGTTTACTTTTCCAAATTGTGATTTGGATGGAGAGTTGTCTCATTGGCACTCATACCACATCTTCTTATATCTATTCAACATAAAACAACCAGTAACGTCATCGTTTTGAAGGATATCATAACTCAAACGTTGCTGTGAAGTTAGATGCAACACAATGTATTTATCATGCTTACTGTTTAGTCCTCTGCCCTTTTGTTTTATTACACTGAAATTAAATGTTGTTCTCACAGGTTTATTGCTGTATTTCTGCTATGGTATGTGGCACAGTCACGAGCGAAATCAACCGGAAGTCTATGATCAGATGATAAATTATACAGGCGATGCAGAACTGACTACTTCAATGCAAAGATTAGAGGAAGACATACGCGAGCAACAACCAAAACGTAATACAGAAGAAGCTTACGTCCAAGATTCATATGGATCTATGTAAAGATATCATTTCAGAATCTCAAGCATTGTACAAGATTCATATGGATGTATGTAAAGCTACCTTTTCAAAATCTAAGGTATTGTTGGTAATCTTACATACAAGATTGATGTGGATCTATTTTAAGCCACCTTTTCAGAATCTTAAGCTTTGTTGGTAATTGTTTCGTTAACGATTTATATGGATCTATGTAAAGCCACTATTTCAAAATCTAAGGCATTGTTGATTATCTTACATACAAGATTGATATGGATCTACTTAAATCCACCTTTTCAGAATCTTAAGCTTTGTTGGTAATGTTTCGTAAACGATTTATATGGATCTATGTAAAGCCACCATTTCAGAATCTAAAGCATTGTGGGGAACATTTTCAAACATTTACAATGTTCTAATCAACCACAAGTCATGTCTAGCATCAATTTCATTTTGATATACGAATAATGAAATTACCAATTATCCTTTAAATTCTGCAACTGCAAATACAAAAGATGTGATAAGAGTGAATTGTACTGACAGTAGGGTCCTAGATGTCCATTACTTTTGTTAATACCAAGAAAGTCAAATGACGTGGTATTGTGCAATGATTTACATGCTACAGGTAGCTGTTTTTTAAAGGCTGACTAAACCCGACAACTTTATCAATTATATCCTATAGAAGCGTGTCTAATAAAAAAAAGCATTTTTTGTTTCTTTATTTCTAACGAAAAAGTGAAAAATCATTTTAGTTATAAAGTGAAATAATATAAACATTTAAACAATTTTAAATTACCCAGCCGTATGGGTGGAACTTTATGAAGCCTATTCATGGCAGTTCATAATTTGTAAATTATTTTAAATCTGCAAGAAAAAATTAACGCGAATTGTCAATTTGCATAGGTCCAGGTTGTTTTAAATGTAAAAGATATGTACAGCATTATATAGTGTCGTTTAGTTGAACTCGGCCAAAATACATCCTTTGATTTGATTTTTTGATTGTTTGGTGTTTTAACGCCATTTTTAAGCACCGCTTTTGGGCTATTTCGTGGCGGCCAGTTTTTATTGGTGGAGGAAGCCGGAGAAAACCACCGACCTTCGATAGGAAAACTGACAATCCTAGTCAATTAAGATTGGAGTCGAGTGCACCCGCACGAGTGGGGTTCGAACTCACAACCTCAGTGTTGACTGGCTAGTGATTACAGTAGTAACTACTTAGACCACTCGGCCACCGAGGCCCCTTACATCCTTTGATTAGTTCATGTTGACTGTACGTGTAGATTGATTTGTAAGACTCTTACACAAACATTTGCGATGAACTTGATTTTTGTAATGACCAGCATATGTTTTATGTTTATTATCAACATACATGTGTATATATAATGATTGTTCTTGCATTTCATGTTCAATGTAAGTTCATTCATCAGTATTATGATGTAATTTATCTGAAATCGAAGATGAAGATCACTTCTTTTTCACCTGTCCCTCATGAAATCTAGATTTGTAGATCTGTATAAACAAATTAAAAAAAAGGAACTGAAAATATTGTCTCTCGGAATTATTTCCTTTTTTTATTATCATAATACAATATAGATTGACGGTAGATAATGGGATACTGAAGCATCAACTGTTTTGTGTATAACTCCTCCTGCTTATTTGTAAATCAACATTTGATGTATAATAATCAAATTTTGAAATTGCTTTGGTAAACTTTCTAGAACTTTGTGTAACTATATTGTGTTGAAATAATAATTGGAATAATAATGATATTTTCTAATTTCATTTTTGTAAAATTATTTCTCTGAATATTTTCTAGTTTTGTTGCACAAATGTAAATATAATCATGCCAATCCAACATGTAACGAATTTTCATGTATATTTGTTGCCAAAATCCACATCAACAGCAAAAAAATCAACGATTGGTTCAAGCGAAAATCGAACTTCGACTACATTTTTTGTTTTAGTATATATATTTATGAGTGAGATTAAATTTATTAAGAGCAAAACATAATTATATCTTTAAGAATAACTTTTTTATTCGATATTTTATATAAATTAAAAGAATAAGAAGAATCTAAATTAGAACATCGTTTAAAACATCATTAGTGGTATCTATATGCATAAGGGCGTTACCTATTTTTAAAAGTCTCTAAAATACAGAAGCACATGGCATAAATTTATTTTGAATTATTCATTCTTCGTTTTATATCCTCCATTAAAACGTCTCAAGACATTTCCCTGGACTATATTGACAGTTAAGCTATTTCCTTAAAATATATAAACTTAACGTTCCACAGAATGAATGAAATGAACAGCTTCTAAGTTTTCCTAGTTCAGACACAATAAACTCTATAGATATCTTAAATATAGCCGCTAAGCTTTAAAATGCCTCGCTAGTAATTCCCCATAAATGCTTTCAAATGTTTTTTTTTATAACCATGAAAGTTCCATCTTATTGTGCTATAATACTTAAGTTCCAATGTTAAATCCATTTCTGATTAAAGGGTTAATACATTAGTGACCTTTCTTTGTTGGTTTCCATGGAAACAAAATGTTATTATTAGAAAGCACCGTTTTGAAACATTAAGTAAATTTATTAGGTTTAATTCAAGGCAAAAACTTTTTTACTAGGAAAAATTCCGCTGATACTAAGAGATCTATCAGGATTTTCTAAAAGAATAGGTAAATTAGTATCGCTTGCAAATCAAGTAATATAGTATCGGTAAAAAAGACATTCACAAGTCTAGCAATTGCATAGTAAAGAAAAGGTTACGTTTAATTTGTATTTAAAATTTCAATCTGGTATGGTGTGTGTTCCCATTCAAAAATGTTCTAAAGGCATATAGTTATATATAGTTTCGTACTAGAAATACATTCAAAACACGTCATTTCAATGAAAAAATTGGACATTTTAAAGTATCATACGCCATTCGTATTTAAATTATGGAAGTGAAAGTTGGACCGACCGCTCAAATTGAAAATATTTAGATTTATCCCACCTGTATATGTAATATAATACCTTATTTTGTTTCTTTTTGAAAATAGATATTTTATTTTGCTTCAATAAGATTATGAAAGTTTGTTGCAAGTGGCGATTTCAATTAACTTTAAATTTATATATTTCCCTGAGAAGCATTTTTGTCGAGCCTTCGACTTTTGTCGAAAAAGCGAGACATAGCGATCCTACATTCCGTCGGCGTCGTCGTCGTCGTCGTCGTCGTCGTCGGCGGCGTCCACAAATATTCACTCTGTGGTTAAAGTTTTTGAAATTTTAATAACTTTCTTAAACTATCCTGGATTTCTACCAAACTTGGACAGAAGCTTGTTTATGATCATAAGATTATATTCAAAAGTAAATTTTGTAAAAAAAAAATTCCATTTTTTCCGTATTTTACTTATAAGTGGACTTAGTTTTTCTGCCAGTTAACATTACATTCACTCTGTGGTTAAAGTTTTTAAAATTTCAATAACTTTCTTAAACTATCCTAGATTTCTACCAAACTTGGAAAGAAGCTTGTTTATGATCATAAGATAGTATCCAGAAGTAAATTTTGTAAAAAAAAAATTCCATTTTTCCGTATTTTACTTATAAATGGACTTAGTTTTTCTGCCAGGAAACATTACATTCACTCTGTGGTTAAAGTTTTTGAAATTTCAATAACTTTCTTAAACTATCCTGGATTTATACCAAACTTGGAAAGAAGCTTGTTTATGATCATAAGATAGTATCTAGAAGGAAATTTTGATAAAATTTTGTTCCATTTTTTCTGTATTTTACTTATAAATGGACTTAGTTTTTCTTCCAGTCAACATTACATACATTCTGCAGTTTAAGTTTTTAAAACATTTATTAGATTCATAATTTATCCTGGATTTTTACCAAACTTGGACAGAAGCTACTTACAATCAAAACATAGTATAGAGGGGAATATTTTTATTAATTTTTTTCTTCATTTTTGTTGAGCCTGCGATTAACACCAAAAGTAGGCGAGACACTGGGTTCCGCGGAACCCTTACGAATTTTTTAAACAAATAATTGAATTTTGGATTAATTTGCTTAAGGACATTTTCTACTCTTATATTCAGCTTCTTTAATAATGAATACATGTCCTTAATAATGAATACATGTCCTAAATAATGAATACATGTCTTGTCCTTAATAATGAATACATGTCCTAAATAATGAATACATGTCTTAATAATGAATACATGTCCTTAACAATGAATACATGTTCTTAATAATGAATACATTGTACATGTACACCCTGTGAATTTTGCCTAGGCACTGATTAAACATTTTTCAATATACGCTCCTGATAAGATATCATCAGTGAATTTCATAACAACGTCATCAACTGAACAAATTTACATTCATTTTATCCCTTTACATACATTATTCCTGTAATTAAACTAAGAAAAACAAAGTTTTCAAATGCGTGTATCCAAAACCTTATTCTAATTCATTAAAGGACTTCATTTCTACACCCAAAAAAAATCCTCAAATGGAAAATACAAATTCAAAATAATTCTTACATAAATCTCAAGTGTGCTCAGTATTATATGAAAAGGTATGTTCAAAGGAAAATAGCTTTTCCAAAAATTTTTTTTTTTTTAAATACAGAGGAGTTTCTGTTCAATTTAGTTTTTGATAGAAATTATTTCTTGCCAAGGGAAGTAACAACAATATATATTCATGCATTGTCACATGTTGTCAAATATATAGATATGTTAAATGTTAGTCTAATAAATATTTTATTATATGTGCCTGTCCGTATTTTTGCCAGAGAAAATTAATTAAAATTATTATATTCTAAATAAAAAAATAAAGTCAGACACTAAATTGTTGTTCTATTAACATGTTAAAATAAGTTGATCTTTTATTTTGTTGAAAATAAACTTTATTTTATATGTATAGAATTGTCATTTTTTTTCACCTTTTTGCAAAATATATGATTACAACCACTTTTAAATTGGTTAATGATCACATTTCATTACACACTCCTCATCTTCGCCTTCTGGAATGCTATCATTAACAGTTAACAGTATATTGAAATGCGATTTATTCGCTTACGAATTTGGTGTTGATGGCAGTTTTCGGTTAGTTTCTGTCAAAATCATTCGTATCTTTTCTAGACTTTGGTCGATCATCACTATTAGCACTAGGCATATAATGGTATAATAGATACTTGCCTGCCACTGTATTTTGACTTCTAGATCTGCTCTGGGTTGTATGTTGTTTGGTTGCTGTCTCATTGACAGATAACTTAAACACAGTTTTGGGAGTAAATTTGACAGAAACACTAGACGCCAAATCTCGCAATAACTAAACATAACAATATAACTATTGACAGCTATTGACGAGGTTCGTGGCTTTCACACGTTTATTAGCTAATTTTTAAGTACTCAGTTGTCCACCTTTTAAATTTCTCTCAGTCAAATTCTTTCGGAATTTTCCCTCAGTGAAATAAGAAAAGAAACTCAGAAGAGAGTAGTACACAACGGGTTTACAAAATAATTAAGAAATAAGAATCGGTTTAGTGTTTCGAACCATGTTTTGATTTTCTTAGATATGACTTTGCTATGTAATATGAGA